GTATAGGCCGTCAGTGAGAGAAATCTAGTTTTGTCTCCTGTCATGTGCTTAGAACAACCACTATCGAGGTACCATTGGTTGTTCCCCCTCACTTCGACCTGCAAAAGAAACTAAGGGTTAGATTCAGGAACCCCATCTTTCATGGGTTCCTTTGTTGATACAGCAAACTCATTTTTCTTTTGCCATACATAAGCTATATTTTTAGTGGACTTAAGTTCCTTTCTTTTGCAATCAGTATCTTTGTGTCCTGACTTGCCACAGAAGGAACACACAGTCTCACTAGGGAGTTCCACGTACTTTTTCTTTTTATCATTGTTCTTCTTTTTGTGGTTGAAACCCAAACCCTCTGTCCTTCTGGTTTGAGCTTCAGATATCCACTTTGGAACTCCCATGTGGATTGCACTTTTGTTGTTTCTAGCTCTTTCTAAATCCTTTTCAAGGGATTCATTTTTGTCTTTAGTAACCTGCAATTCTTTTTTCAAATTTTCAAGATCATCATTAAAGGTTACTAAAGGCAATTGAAGAGCATTATTAGAATCAATGTTAGTGCATAACAATTTATACTGAGTCAATTCAACATTTAACATGATATTTTCATTTTTGACTCTTTCCAATGTTTCCTTTAGCATAGAGTTTCTATCTAGCAAATCAAAGAATCTTCCCTGAACATCTGTTCTTGAACTATTCAAATATTTCATATGATCCTTATAGATTTCTAGAGATTTTTCATTTTGTCCAAGTTTAAGACATGTTTCTTTATATTCATCCAAAGTTTCTATGAGCAAAGAAATTAATTTGTCTTTTGACAGGGATTTCAGAAATTTAGGTTTGAGATTTACCTCCTCTGACTTTTTAGCAGACTCACTGTGTTTAGCCATCAAACACAGGTTTGCCGTCTCTTCTTCTGTGGATTCTTCTTCATCCTCGGAACTTGTGTCTCCCCACGCAGCTATCATGGCTTTCCTGTAATCAGATTTTGAAAAGTTTGGAGTATTAGATTTTCCGTGTTCCTTCATTTTTCCTTTTCCTTTTTCTGATTCCCAGAGAGGGCATTCCTTGATGAAGTGATCTGTGTTCCCACATTTGTGGCATCCTCCAGTTTCCTTGGAATATTGGTTTTTCTTGAAGTTCCTTTTCTTTTGGTCACCAAACCTTTTGTTGCGGTACAACTTTTTTTGCTTCCTGACTAGCATGGCAGCTTCTTCCTCTCCAGATTCGGAATCCTCTTCACTTGGTTGGACAACCTTTAGAGCAATTCCTCGGCTCTTTGAACTTTCTTGGCTTTTGTTTGATAGGTGAAGCTCATGAGTTATTAAGGAACCTGCAAGTTATTCAAGGTTGAAAGTTGTAAAGTCCTTTGATTCCTGCAAAGCTGCCACTTTGGATCTCCACCGTTCATCTTCAGGAAGACTCCTTAGAATTTTGCGTACCTGTTCATCCATAGGAATAACTCTACCAAGAGAAACTAATTCATTAGTAATATTTTTAAAACGAGTAAACATTTATTGAATAGTTTCTTTTGAACCCATTTCAAAACGTTCATATTTAGAAAGCAGTATATCAATTTTAGAACGTTTAACTTCATGAGTTCCTTCGTGGGTTATTTCTAGTAAATCCCATATTTCTTTTGCTGTTTTACATCCCATAACACGAGTGTGTTCATCTGGCCCTAAACCCCAAACTAAGAGTTTTTTAGCAGTAGCATTAATCTCTTTCTTCTCAAAGTCGCTTCTATCGTATTCAGAAATAGGTTTAGGAATTACCTCGTTTTCTGCATTGGTCTTTGTTACCTCGTAATCTCCTACCTCGATAGCTCGCCAGACTTGATAATTCTCGGACTGTATGAACATCTCCATCCTCGTCTTCCAATAGGCGTAGTACTTCCCATTGAAGAGTTGAGGTCTTTGTGTAGAATAACCTTCAGCTAGTCTCTCGTCCTTCGACATTGTTCCTCCAGGAACTTGACTCGACAGGGCTTCCTGCTTTTACGAGTTCCTTGCTCTGATACCAATTGATAGAACAATGTATACTACAAGAGGGGGGGTGAATTGTAGTATATGTAGACTATGGTAAATTTTGCGGAATTAAATCTACTACTAAGAGAAAAGACACTGAGATAGGCAATGAATAAATTCACTATGTAAAAATGATTTACAATCACTAATACGTTGCCTAGACTCAAGTTCCGTGAGAAACTCAAGTTACCCAACTGTGATTCCTCAATCACAGTTTCTCACACTTTGTGATTCTACTCCGAATCACTTGTACAGTGTAAACAACTCTCTCAAGTCTCACACTTTACAACTCTCACAACCCAAACCCAATTACACAATGATTACAAGTATTTCCTAAAGAACTTAAGAGACTAAGGATGGAAGGAACTTCTCTTTTAAACACTTTAAAACTCTATGCTCTGAATACTTAAGATTGTTTTTCCACGCTTTCAAAACTTAACGTTGATCTGTTTTTATAAGGAGAATATTCAAGCTTCCATCAAATTCCCACTTCCCCCTTAATCCCACGTTCTCTTTGGCTGAGAAGTTGGGATGTAGGCAGAGGAAATTTAGGAACATGATTTCCTTAGCTTGACTCCCAAGTTCAACGTTCTCCTTAATACTAGGAGCCAGTATTTACCAAGTCAAAAAAATCAGTTATTCAAAAAGATAATTATTTAATAAAAAAGATAATTATTTATTTATTAATTAAAAGATAAATAATTAATTAATTTAAAACTTATCTTTTTAAATTAATGAATTATTTATTTATTTATAAAATCTTTTAAAATCTTTTTCAAAACTGATTTTTATCACTTCCTTAAATTAAGGGATATGAAAACTGTTTTAAAACTTTCGTTTAAAACTTTCTGAGTCAATCGTCAAGTTCCTTCGGGAACTACAGGTTTCTTCAGGAACTTCGAGTTTCTTCTTAATTCCTTCCATTCCTTCCAACACTTTTGTTTCTTAAACTCGTACACTGAGTAACTAAGTATATAGAGTTGTGAGGACATCTTGAAAGCTTGCATTCATCATCAAGTCTTCCAAACTCTGTTGTTCCTACTCCGGAACATGTATTTGTGTACCTGAATCTTTCTGTTCAACCAAGACTCATAAACATCATTAGTCAGAGTTTATTTTATGTAAGTCAATCATCAAAATATTAAGGTAGTCAATTCAACACATGGAACTAAGCTAATTTCAACAATCCCTTTGTCTCTACCTTAGTGTCCTATCATTTGGTAGATTATGAAGTGCCCTTAAATCAGATTAAGAGAATTGATTCTTCATCTTTTTCTTTTTCTTTGTTTGAAAACCTTACCAAACAAGCCTCATGTCATGTGACAAAAGAAGCCCTGAACAATATGAAAAAAAATGCAGGTATCCTAATCCTATGCAAAAAAAAAAAAAAAAAAAAAAAAAAAAAACGAAAAACCACAACATTAAACAAAAAGATATCTGAGTATGACAACACTTGCTTTAAGTTCCATCCAAAGTAATAGATTCGGTTGCATCACAGCGATTTAAAGAATCTTGGGCTTACAACATTGATCGCGATTGCATCCGAGATATAAAACCCTGGTTTAGTCATGCCAAAGTTTAGGCAGGTCAAAATAAATGTAACTGTATATTTGTAACTAAAATCACTTTGGGAAGAAAAAGGAAATAATAGAAAATCAGAAGTCTGACAATAAGCCACCGACTAAAATCAAAATTTTCAGGCCACACCTAGAAATTTAATGGAAAAAATGTAGTACTAGAAAAGAAGAATGACAGATGTCCAGATACTCCACACCACAAATCCTTTGACTCTGCCGAAAATTTAGTCATTTGGCCTACATATATTTTTTAGAAGAAAAATGAGAAAGATCAGAAGCTGAATGTGTTAAGAATAGAAACAAGATAATAATCCTGCATTGAGTATGAAGAGCTGTTTAAATCTACTAAATCTACTTCGTAAAATTATTTATCATAACCAATATCATATCATGATATGAGATGAGGATGATGATAATTAGTAGCAAACACTTAGGAATTAACAACCGATGTTATAAATCAAACTAATACTTTTTTTTTTTTAGGATGCCCACCCGGTTTACCAAAGCTTAGCTCCGACTATATCCGGTTTCGACTCGGGTAGCAAACCTGGCTTATGGTGGGTGAGTCTCCTGACAAGAGTTTCTGCATACGGCGAGACTCAAACCCGAGATCTCCCTTAAGCGACATCAAGTAAGTTGCTTACCACTTGAGCCAACTCTTGTTGGTAAATCAAACTAATACTGTATATAGACTTGTGATCTTGAGAGTTGAAAGAATCACTGGATTGACAAAACTAAAGACTGATACAAGAAGCGATAATAGTTTGAGGGATTGGATGATATCGGCTTCATTGATAAGAACAGACAACAAAGTTTAAGCATTGAAGTATTGTTGAATGGATTATCCAGAGCCTAACAAATGGAAGAAAAGCAGAATACTTGCTGTTGGGGGGAGTGGCAATTGCTAGAGCATGTCTTTTAGTGCCAAACTTATCTATCAATTAGATAAGAGAAAAACTGAAAAAGACATGCAATGCCTAAAAATTTTGGTGTTTAAGTTCCAATCAAAATATCATCCAAAAGGCCCTGCATACATCATTTGGGTGTACACTACACAGAAATTAAAATCGCAACATTTTGCTACAAATTAAGGCCACAATTCACGAATAAGAAAATATAGAAGGGGCAATTATTATTATTATTTTTTAAAATCATAAATCTAATTAGTATATTAGGAAGAAGTGTTCAAGTACTCTCACATCAGCTAATTTTTTTTATCTCAACCATCAAATAAAGCAGACAAATCTAATAAGCTATGAGTTTAATTCTTAATTAGGTGGAAAACATAATTTTTGGAGAAGAAATCGTGTCATGAAACAGAGAAAGATGTTAAATATCTTTAAGGCAACAATTATGCTACACTTAAAGAGGTTCATCTATGATTATCTACTATGAACTGGAAGACATATCATTAAAAACAACATGCATTCAAATCAAAAAGTTAGAATGAATTTTCAAGAATACCTTTTGCAGTAATTTCAAGGCATGTCTGCTGCATGACTATTCTTGCAGTCAGCTTAACACTGTCATTGGAATCATTCGAATTCTCCTCTCTTAAATTTAGCGTGTTTTAATAGCTGTAACAAAAAAATTAGGATACACAAATAACAAAGAAGATTGTCTGTGTCTCTCAAGAGCAAGCAGTTCAGCTTCCCTGAACCCTTTATTTCTTTCAGACAACATGTATTGTTTCGGAAGTAGAGATTATAAGCAACTTCTACATTCCATTCTACTGCATCAGCTCTGCACGTTTGCGCTCATTTCATCAATAGGGAGTTGGAGTTCTGGAAGTCCAAAACATAACAATATAAAGCTTTGACAACATTTTCCTGTGAATAAAAACAGACTTATTCCTAAATTCTATAGTTGGTACTTTGTATAAATATTCATGGAAGGATTACTACTAGAAACATACATAAATTTGAGGAAGTGAAGCTCAGGTCAGACATCAGAAATCAGTGACATAAGGCACCAGGCACATACAGTGATGCAATCTACTACGTGGCTCTTAATGTAGTTAGCAATACACAGGGGAATCTTATAAGGGATTGTTGGCATCGATTGTATCATCTCCATCACCAAGACTGACAAAGGGCTATTACAGCCTTGTACTACATGGTGGGCATCAGTGTCCAGGGACTCCTGGCAGCTGTTATTTTTAAATAGATACATTGCTTCCTCTAGAACCTGCTGAGTAATGAAAAGAATATTAAACAGCATCCAACTTTAGAAATTTTGCGCGGAATTCAAGATTGCAGCACTTGAGATCATTAACAAAAATTACAAGCTAAAATATGGCAAAATGTACTTCCTTAAAGACAGCCTATATACGATATAAATACACTAAGTCACTAACTAGGGCAAAATGTATTCCTCACAGGCCTTAGGTGAGTTTTATCGAGAATTCAGGTACAGTGCCATCCATCAGTTCATGATTTGAGTGTTGAGTGAAGACTAAAGACCCCATGTGACCTAAGAAGTTGCTTAGAGAACTAGGAAACTTTGCCCACATTCTTTTCTGAATTTCAAGTTTTCTCCATATCACGTACAAGGTCTCATGGACAAGACAATCAATCATGGGACATCATTACATAATATTCAGGGACATTGGATAATGAACAGAGTCTGAAACCTGCACATTCTAGTCTCTACCAACATGGCCTACAAACAGTTTCATTGGAAATTTTTACTTCCGTTCAGAAACAGTCAAGAACCCACACAAGTATACATGAAAGGATTAATACACCATATAAATTTTGAAGGCTGTGATTCTCAAGTAGGATACAGAAGCAACAACATACAGCATGCGATCTACTAACAGGAGAATATCACGGAGAACTATATAGTATCACCAAGCCAGAAAGCAAATCCCACTACAATTTCCCCAAGAACTGAAACCAATATTATCTTGACAGCCTTAAATTGAAAATATTCTTGCTTTCTGAAACTAAACTTCACCACAAATCACCTAATCATAGGAATCTGAATACTTACACATATAATAGAAGAAAGCAGCACTTCGGAAACAAGAAAGAAACTGTACTACCTGAAACAGAGCAAGAGTTCCATGATAAAACATAGCATTTAGAGTTTTAGACATTGAAACCAACTAGACATGTGTCCTGAGAATCCATCTGACAAGCAAAAGTGCTGGACTTATGAACTTCCTCATGGGCAATTGACTAATTGATTTAGGATATACTGTTACCCAATATCTATAGTCTATTTGACATTGAAAGACCAAAGGAGGCTTCCATATAGCAATAGCCAAGTCCAAGACTCCAAAATAGTCACATAATTATAGCCTTTTGCATGGGTTTTCACCAGATGATTTCTTATCAGTTGTCATCAGTAGTTTAAGCAATCCAAGGAGGCTGTTTCAGATTCTAGGAGACATCCTTCCACTACTGTCAAAATATTTCAACATCTTCTAAATTACATATTGCAATTATAGAATTTGTTAAAGATAATCAACATTCACTCAGAGTCTCTTCTTTTACCTGTGCCTTGGTGCTATTAGAAGATTGATAAAACTTCTGTAATGTGCAATCCAAGTTTCATACAATGTTTCTTAGAATTGCCATCAAGCAACAAAAAATTTAACAAGCATAAATGCTTCAAATTAGGAATTAAAAGGAGCCCCTTTAGTATGGTGTGACTTTGGGGATTGAGCAGCTTGGTACTTTGGGAGACTTTCCTCTAGTACTTGGCCCTTAATGGTTTTTGGTAACTTCTCCAAGATTTAGTCAAAAATTTCCCTAAGTCTATGGGCTAGTGGGCTACGACCTAAGTCAAAGATATCTAAGAGTAAGACCCATTATATTATTTGAGTGCAACAATCTTAGGTCTGAAGTTATATGGTTTTGATGGCCTTTTCTAAAATTTCATTTCAGATTAATCAAACACTCTTAGTCATAGGCATGACCGCATGAGGTAAAATATTCACGATATTTCTGAATTTGGGTACAATGTGTGAATAACTTACACTATTATTCTTCTAAATTACCATAAGAGTATTTGTAATCTCAATTTAGGTCAAGTTTTCATCTATCATCCTAAATTTTGGAATAATTAGAAACCAAGAATGGAACCCTAGGAAGTGGGAGACAGATACATCCCTCCGAATCAAATTTACAACTAGAGCAGGATTTCAGGGGCATATATTTTGGGTTGCACCATATGGCCATTGCAGCCATTAGTGGATCTGAAGAGGATCCCCTGGTGCTTCATTAAGATCTTTTGTGGCTTCCTAGATGATTTTACATGCATGGGTTGTGAGCTTGTAGCCAACAAAATTGAATTCACCTTGCCAACTATGCATAATAACTCGTACTAAAATTGACAGCATCCATATCATAGGGAGCACACATCATAATATATTGATGTCTACAACCAATTCTCTATCAGTCTATCCCAAAAAGACCAATCTGTCACCTCGATTTTCTCATAAAACGCCTCACATAAAAATATAGGTTGAATATAAAAAGTCTAGTAATTTACACAGGAAATTGTACTCGTCACAAACTCGAAGATATATAAAGGACATCTGTAAACAGTGAACCAAAAAAAAGTGTTAACAAGATATATGTTGCCATTAGTGATGATTCTGACCTGGAAAACTCTGCCTAAAAGAAGCTTTGAATTTATCAAAATGAAGCTCAACTCTTTCAGCAGCATCATACATGTTCTTTTGTCTAACTTCATCTAGAAGCCGACGAAATGTTTGATGCCTTGGTACCAGCTCCTTACAAATCATCTCCTCGAATAATTGGAAAGCCCAATCACATCTGTCCACTCTACAAAGACCATGAATCAAAAGTGAATATGTTGAATCATCAAGACTAAGTTGATGCTTGACAGTCATATCATCCAGTAGTCTGCTCAAGCAATTATCTGGCATCCTCAATCTGAAGCACGATTTAAGCAATGGATAGAATGTCTGAAGGTCCGGCTTACAAAGTGCTGCCTTTTCCATGTCTTCCAAAACATTGAAAGCCATCTCTTCTTGGCCATGCCGACAAAACATGCCAATTAATGTATTGTAGGTACACGTGTTAGGATGAACACCATTCATTGGCATCTCTACTTTAAAGATATCAAAGGCTTCCGTTATGCGTTGAGCTTTCCCAAGGGTATGAATCAATGCATTATAAAATTGAATGTCAAATTCACATCCAGCTGATTTTGCTTGGTTAGCTATTTGTAGAGCATCTTCAACTTTATCAGCCTTTGACAACAAAGACATCATAGTTGTGTAAGTAACAACACTAGGTTGGCAGCCCTCAGATTCCATCATCTCAAGTAACTCATACGCCTTATTCCAATTAGAAAGTCGGCAGTATGACTGAATTATAACTGTATAGCTTATAACACAAGGAGTGAAACCATGGCCTTTCATCTCTTGAAGCGTCCAGTAGGCTTCTTCAACCCGCTTAATTTTGCACCAACCATGTATGAATATATTAAAGATGTGCACCGTAGGAGGAATATGAGATTTAAGGTCCAAAAAGATGCCACGAGCCATCTGTACTTGACTCTCTTTGCAAAGAGTATCAAGCAACAAATTCATGGACTCGGCATTCTTCTCCAAACCATAAGTAGGCAACTCATCAAATGTTCTCACAGCATCGTTCCATCTACGAGCACCAGCAAACCTCCTCATTATTTTAGACATAGTTCTAAGAGTGACCAATTTCCTCTCAAGCATTTCACCCTTCAACTCACTCATCTTATCAAACTGCCTCGCCTTTCCTAGTATGTCTACCATTAAATCATATGCTCCAGGCAAATGCTCAAAACAAGACCGCGAATCAGCCCACCTAAAAACGGCATAGGCCGATTTCCAATCGTCTCTAAACCGATGAAGCAACATATCAACAAGGGCATGGCTAACACTAATTCCCTCACAAATTTGATCATTTAACAATGAACTCAAAATCTCCTCCTCACTACTACCAACACTAACCTTGTTTACAACTAATTGAATCTGCTTAGATAAACCTTCAGCTAGATTATCAAATTCCCCAGTTGATGTCGAAAATTTTGCATAATCATAACCCTTAACATAACTATCATTCTGCAAAAGCAAAGGTACTAATGCAATAACATGTTTTGAAACTCTTTCATTCAAACAATATCTAACTAGGGTTTTCAACAACAAATTCTGCATTCTAATTAGAGGCATATTCAAGCAAATTTGAATTCGAATGAATTAAGCAATCAAAGTAATTGAGGAAACCCAGAAATTGGCTTACCTAAGTACGAAAGAAAGAACGAACTAGGGAATCTGGGTTGTTGAATTCTGGAAAAATTTAATCCTCAAATTGAATTGTACTTTGTAAAACTTTGGTTGTATGTGTACTTCTTTGTGATTGTTGAGGGACTAGAAAGTAGAAAACGAAGATGCAGAGAGAGACTGAAAATTAGGGGAAGCAATTAGTACTTCGTGGAGGCGGATATACCATGGGCATGATGCATCCGTTAAAAATAAAAAACCGGAAAGAACATTCTATAAATATGTAAGGAACATTAAAGAACCTAATAATTTGTGTCAAAAAAACAACCTAATAATACTATCTTATAAAGAACCTCGTCTTCAACCTTTGTCACATTATTCTCAAATTCAACATCTATATCCAGATTCATCAAATTTTAAAAAGGAAAATAAACAATGAATTTTATGATTACAAAATATTCTAATTCATATCTAAAGTAACACAATTAAAGAAAAATGGATACAAAATTTCATTCAAAATTACCTTCGATCTTTGACTAACAAATTCACATATTCACCTTCAATTCATTAAAAATCACTCCATTAACAAAACAGTGATTAAAAGCACCACGAAACTCGATCTAAATGCTCGGCCATCGTCTTCTATTAGAAAAATTTCTTTTTCTCTATAAATTTTCTATTTCTCTCTCTTAAATTTTTATTCCTCTCTCTAAAAAAATCAAACTAGTGAAATTAAATATGAATAAATATACAAATTTCTAAATTGAGATTGGGAAATAATTACCAAAACTCTTCAATTATGGAACAAATTATTCATTTAAAGATTGAAAAGCTAGATGTTCTTTAAAAAATACTATTATGTTCTTTTCTTTTCTTTTTTTTTGTTTTTTTTTGTGAAAAAAATAATATTCATTACCTTATATTATCATGTTCTTCATTAATATTAGGATGTTCTTTAAGTATATACAAAGAACATAAAGCTTGATGTTTTTTTAACAAAATAGTTATATGTTCTTTACAAAACAACTATATGTTCATTACAAAACAACCATATGTGTTGTTCTTTGAAAAACAACTATAAGTTCTTTACTGAATAACTATATGTTCATTCCGCCTTTTTTTAAGGAAAATCGGATGCACGGAATATGGTTCATCCGCCTCCATGATAAAAAATTTAGCTTTTCATCGCTAATTATCTTTCATTCCATGATGAAAAAATTATGAAAACTACATATATATAAAATACACATTATAACAAATCTAACAAGACCCCACTTGATATATTTTTTCCTTATAGATTATCGTACACTTAAGGTCAAAGTTTGGTCAAATCAAACAATCAGATCAGATCAGACCAGACCAGATTTGACCACAGTAGATCAGATAAATTCAGCTAAGCAAAAATAAGGTGAACCAAACGAGGCCTAAGTAAACCCAATTTGATTTTGTGGTGTTGAATTTTAAATTTTCAATTATCTTGGATCAGTGAATGAAAATTGATTTGTAAAGGATGTAACGGAGGTAGTAGTTGGTGTCGGAGAAGTGGTGGTGGTGCAATGGCAAGAACGATTAACAAGGGAGAAAATTGGGTATGTGTCGATGGAAAAGCTAAGAGGGAGATGAGGATGAAGAGGAGAGTTAGGGCCTATTCTCTTTAGCTTAATTTCAGTTCAGTTTAGCTCATAATTTCCTTTTCTCATAAAATATTCATTTCAGCTCTATTCAGTTCAGTTAAGTTTAGCTCAGCTCCAATTAGTTCAGTTCACCAGTAAATCAGAATAGACCTGTTTTGGGTGTTTTTGGTCCCTTGGGAGAGTTACTTCACCAAGACTGGTCCATCGCTGTCTGTATTTGCAAAACACGGAGACTCCAATTGGTAGGAGCTCCGCCTTCGACAATCAAGTTAGTATTAGTCGTAGAAGATGAAAAGATGCGGAAAAGGTAAAACGGAGATCTTCTCGGATTTCGAGATTAGGTGTTTTCTTTGATGTGTGAGAACGTAGTGTTATTGTAATAATTATCGGCGTCCCCTAAATAGGGGAATCTCCCTATTTATAGGGTCATTGGTGAGTGTGCCCTTGAGTAGGTCACTCTAACCTAATTCTGATGGGCTGCGCCGCATTTCGACTTTCTTGAGATTTGGGCCCTGAAGGCTGTCTTTTCTCCCGAGCTCTAGGAGTACCATGTGTCAAATAGGGATAGGTCCACTTTGGCCTTATCATGGGCTGACACATGTCGTCTATTGGCTGGACCACGTGGCATGGGTAATTTTTACCCAAAACAAGACCATTAGTTATTTAACGAATATTTTTAACTAAAAACTTTCATTAATGTTATTTATGTAAAAGTAAAATAATATATTAAGGCAATGATAATTTGAAAATAAATAAATAAATAGCTCCCATTATTGATATTTAAATGTAAAAATACAAAACTATTATATATTTTTAGACAAGTAAAATTGTTTTCCTGTTTTGGGATGGACATACAAAGAAACTTCACACACACATTACAAATTCTTATTAAAAAAATGATATGAATAGTTTCATAGATTTAAGTTTTTAATGCAATATTTTGGCTCAACTCTTTCACAAACTTAATCACATTAGATGATGAGCTACCACCAACTTTCACTGCCTCTAATGCCTTTTGTCTCATCACCTTAGCATTTTCTTTCTGTGGTACATTCTCGTTGATCGACTCTCTAATGATCCAAGCCAATTCATCTGAGTCGGGCACCGTGTGTTCTCCTTCACATAGATGAACAGCCAACCCTGCGTACTCCACAAACTGCTTTGCATTGTGGAACTGATCAGCTGCCATTGGCCAAGCTAAAACCATAACTCCTGCTATTATACTCTCTAGTAACGAGTTCCATCCACAATGACTCATGAACACACCCACTGCTTTGTGGTTCAGTATCTCAACTTGTGGTGCCCACCCTTTAATCACTAAACCTTGATTCGAGACTCGCTCCTCGAACCCTTCTGGTACCAATTGGCTACCCTCTGCCTTCATCACCCACACGAAACGTGTCTTGCTTCGTTCCAACCCTAATGCAAGAGCTTCTATTTGGGGAACTGTTAGTAACTTTTGACTCCCAAAACAGACATACAAAACACTCTCATCCGGGCATCCATCAAGCCACTTGAGCACACCATAACCAGCATCAGAATCCGGGTTAACCCTCTTAGGTCCACTTACTGACCTTAATGGACCTACACTAAACACCCGATCATGACCCAAATCTTTTTTCACTTGATCTATATACTCCCCTTCTAAGGCATAGAAAGAATTGAAAACATAACACCAACTTTTAGGATTTGTAAGAAAACACTCTTTGACAATCCTCCAATCAGAGTCATTCTCCTTATAGTTTTTGAATAAAGAAGGTTGTTGCTCCTTGTGCAAGGAAGGAGATCTAGGAATGTCTTGCATTTGTATAATGTCTAAATTACGAAATTTTTCCATGTTTGTCATTAGACGTTGAATAAAACAAGTAAAGAATGCTCCCGAGGTGAAGAAAGTAATTGTTGGTATGTCGAGTTTTTCTGCCCAATATTGCATGAGGAGGAGAAGGATGAGATTTAAACCATTGTAAAATCTCTCCTTCTAGTTTGCTGAAAGTTGCAATAATAGGAGCAACTCCGACATGTCCTATATCTTTTACATTTTCAACACCTAAAGGGAGTTTGGTGTGAGTAGGGAGAGGTAAGACTAATGTATGAATTGAATTTGGGTGAGTTGAACGAAGTGGGATTATGATAGGTAGGTTTTTAGGAGTGACTAAAATGGTGATATTTAGTCCTTTGAGTGCTAGTTGGTGAATGAAGTCGAGGAAAGGAAGCATGTGGCCTTGTGCCGGGAATGGAAAGGCTAGTACGTGGATGTTGTTCATGGCGGGGGTGGTGGTGGTGGTGGCAACGATGGGGAAAGAGGAAGCCGACATGGCTTTTGGTTGTGGTGTGGTTGTGTATGGATAGAAATGAGTGGCACATAGATGGTAGATGGGGTGGCTAAAACCAATGAATGTATAGTTTTACTTATAGTGCAAATGGCGTCCTTGATAAATTGTCACACCAATCTTAGCTTGTTGTGCTTAAATAATTATTGATTTCTTGTACGTTTGTATTACACTAAATGACCTACGATATTTAATTTGGTGTCCCTATATTTAATGTACTAGCTTCATTATTTTGACAATATAATCTAGGTGTTTAAATTCATTGCCTTTTAAACGATTACATTGTTTGACTTTTTATGATTTTCAACTCATGTATTAAAACATTAATATTTATATCTCTAATTTTGTACTTCCTCCGTTCTTTTTTACTTGACCCGCTTTGACTTTTACACTATTCACCATTATTCCTTTGACCGTCTTTTGTGAATAATTTATAAGGAAAAATATGTTCATGTTGGATATTTTAAATTCGTTTCAAGAAATACTTTCATAATATATAACTTTTATAATTTTTACTTATAGAGAATTAAAGTTATTAATCTTTGAAGTTTTGCATTGGCAAGCGCGATAAAAGAAATAGGTCAAGTAAAAAAGAACAGAGGAAGTATGCTTTAACAATATCAAAATTGTTTTATAAGTATACATAATATAGAAGCAAATTAACAATATTTCACATGACTTTTTTTTTCCCTATGAATTAGTGGTTAATTGTGATCAAACTTTAAAAATTTTGACTCAAAAAATTTCACTGTGACAATTTTAGAAGGATTTAGAGAGTATTGTACAATGAGTTGTTATGGAGTTTGTTATGAGTAATAAAGGGTCAAGATCCACACTCTGTTAATTTAATAGTTAGTTCCCTCTAGGTTTTCTCCTTAGGAGGGTTTTTTTGGTTCCCTCTAGGGTTTCTCCCTTGGGAGGGTTTTTCTAGCCTTCATTGCTAGATTTTCTCTACTTTTTTTTGAAGGTTTTCCTTCAATCTTCTCCTTCTCTCTCTTTCTCTTCCATCTCTTTTCTTCTGATCTCAATTGTAAATTTTTGTAGGGGCTTCCATCGGTATTTTTACCGGTGGTAAGCCCCAAAAAACTTTTTAATTGCTTTCAATAAAAGATCACATCTTTATGATGGAGTTTGATCTATTAGGTTTATTTTATTTGTTTGTTCGTCTGTCAAAGTTTAAAGATGTAGGGTTTCACAATCTCCAAAAGTATCTAGAAGGCCATATGAGTTTTTTCACCCAAACAACTATTCATATGTGGATCTCAAGCCGAATTAGTGCTAACTCACAGATTGTATTGCTTCAGATGAAGATTTTTATAAAGGCGATCGTTGATCGAATCTGCGATGTAACTAGTTCTAAGGTGAATTGTATTTGTATTGGAATTTTAGATTTCTTCGGAATTGTTTGTAAGTGTCGTTTGACTATCTTTCATTAATGAAATTCTTTCTTGTTGAATTGCACAAATTCACAACCTAACTTTCATTAATTGGAATAATCACCAATATATACAAAGCTTATTCCCAGTGTTACCTTAATTAGGTTGCTAGAAATAAGAAAACAATATAAAAGATAGAAACAAATATATTCTACCAAATTTTATCCTCAATACCCCCCCTCAAGTTGGAGCACTAGGATCATAAATGCCCAACTTGGACAAAATATTATCAAACTGTGTCTTCCCAAGAGTCTTCGTGAAAATGTCGGCCAATTGAGTAGTCGTAGGAACGTAGGAAGGAGAAATCAAGCCTTCTGTAATTGCATCTCGCACAAAATGACAATCAACTTCAATATGTTTGGTCCTTTCATGAAAAACCGGATTCTTCGCAATGTGCAAAGCAGATTGACTGTCACAAAACAACTTGATTGCCTTAGGATGATGCACACCTAAGCTTAGCAACAAACTCTTAAGCCACTTTAGCTCACAAGTAACTGCCTACATAGATCTATACTCGGCATCACAAGAGGATGTCGCAACAGTTGGTTGCTTTTTAGTCTTCCAAGAAATAGGAGAATGACCTAAAAACACCAACCAACCTATGATAGAGCGACGAGTTAGAGGACAAGCCGCCCAATCCGAATCACACCAACCCTCCAAGGTAAGGTCACTAGTAGCACTCAACAAAATACCCTGACCCGGGGTACCTTTCAAATAACGAACAACTCGAAGAGCTGCTTCCCAATGCTCAATGCGCGGCTCTTTCATAAACTGAGACAAAATATGAACGGAGTATGCTAGATCAGGTCTAGTTACCCCTAGGTAAATCAAACGACCAACCAACCTACGATACACCTCCGGATCCTCAAGAAAAGCCCATGTTGCACGACCGAGCTTGTGATTTTGCTCCATGGGAAAACCACTCGGCTTTGCCCCTAACAATCCTGCTTCACTAATAATATCCAACGTATATTTTCTTTGACATAAAAATAAACCTGAAGCACTACGAGCAACTTCTATGCCCAAAAAATATTTCAAAGGACTTAGATCCTTCATCTTGAAACAATCACTGAGATAAGCCTTGAAACCAACGAGTGCAGCGGAATGATTACCAGAAATAATAAGATCATCAACATACACTAAGACATTAATCTGAACGGTGCCTTTAGTGTACGTAAAAAGGGAATAATCATAGTAAGATTGAATGAAACCATACCCTTTCAAAGCCGTAGTTAGCTTTGCGAACCAACACCTCGGTGCTTGCTTCAACCCGTACAAAGACTTGTCCAAGCGACAGACTAATGTAGGATCCTCACTTTCAAACCCGAGAGGTAATTTCATGTCCTCCTCATCAAGATCACCATGCAAGAAAGCATTATGCACATCCATTTGATGAAGTTCCCAATTCTTTGATGCCGCAATTGCAAGAAAAGCTCGAACTGTTGTCATCTTTGCAACCGGAGCAAACGTTTCACCATAATCTATGCCTTCCTGCTGATGATTACCAAAAACTACCAAACGAGATTTGAGTCGTTCAATATCACCATTAGACAAATATTTTGTCTTAAACACCCATTGACTCCCTAGTGCACGTTTACCAGGGGGAAGATGCACTAAGGTCCATGTACCGTTGTCTTCCAAAGCCCTTATTTCTTCTTGCATAGACTTCCTCCAACCGTCATGTTTCATGGCCTCCTAAAAGGACTTCGGATCATGACCACCAACAATAGCTGCTAGAAACTTACAATAATTCACAGAAAACTTGTCACAATTTATATAATGTGCTAAAGGATAAGGAGTACCTGAAGGAGTATTGGAGGACGGAGTAGAGGGAGACGGATTGTTAGCAAATACGGAGTGAGTCACAAAATCCCGATGGCGTACATTCGAAAATTTTTCTCTGAAACCACGCCCCAAGAGCTCGGGAGCTGCTGCCCCGACATCACTAGTGGCGTGGCTGGAACCTGGCTGCTGCACACCCTCGGTGCTGCTAGCAGTAGCCTCTGCACCCAGGCTGCGGTGTGTGCCTTCTGGCCGTGGCCTGACTGCGGTGTGGTCTGTCCCCCGTGAGCTGGGCTGATGTGCCAAGGTGTCCACACCCGCAGCCCCCCCCTGCGGGTCAGCAACAGCAGGGCTACTCGCAGGGGCTCGTTCACCCAATTCTTGTGTGTCGTTTGACACATCGTTGACCACAAAAACATCACCTTCCTCAAATTCAACAAAATCATCATGAACATTATAACCCGAATCATACACATGAGGCTCAATATTAACATCTTCTGGAGTAGCAAACGGGAATACATCTTCAATGAACTTAACATCTCGAGACACAAAAAACACCTTAGCTTCAAGGTCATACAAACGCCACCCTTTCTTCCCAAAAGGATAGCCCACAAACACACACTTCCGACTCCTACTTGCAAACTTATCCCCATTAGTTTTCTGATTATGTGCAAAGCATAAACAACCAAAAGTACGAATAGCATCAAACATAGGGGGTTTATCAAAGAGAATTTCAAATGGGGTTTTATTTTGGAGCAACGGAGTTGGAGTGCGGTTAATAAGGTGAGCCGCGGCTAGAACACACTCTCCCCAAAAATAAATGGGTAATTTGGCCTGGAATCTCAAAGCTCTCCCAACTGACAAAATTTGTTTATGCTTTCGCTCTACCCTCCCGTTTTGTTGCGGTGTACCCACACAAGGGGTTTGGAAAATAATACCCGTAGCATCAAAATAATCACGCAAGCAATTAAACTCCGTACCATTATCACTTTGCACAATTTTTATGGTTTGTGAAAATTGTCTTTCCACCATAGCAACAAACATAAAAAACATACGAAAAACCTCCGTTTTATCATTCATTAAATAAATCCAAACGACTCTAGAATAATCATCCACTATAGTAAAAAAATAACGAGCACCGCATGACGAAACATGTCTATACGGAACCCACAAATCACAATGAATTTTTTCAAAAATTCTAGATGCTTTATTGTCACTCAAAGGAAAACTATCTCTAGGATGCTTAGCACGCATACATACTTCACATCCTTTATCTAAACATGCTTTATTACTAACTGTAGGAAGTAACTTAACTACTTTCTCGGAAGGATGACCCATGAGACGATGCCACAACACCAACTCTGAATTCGCAGCAAGAGCACTCACATGATGTACCAAATCCGTTTTGCTAAAGTAGTACAATCCGTCCCTCCTAGTTCCCGTTCCAATCAGCTCCTTCGTTTGGTCCTGTATAGCACAAATATAAGAGTTAAATTGGACAGTACAATTAAGGTCATCATTGAGTTGCGAAACAGAAATCAAATTACAACTCAAATTAGGGACATAAAGTACTCCGGTGAGAGTAATCTTGTCCGATAAAGAAACAGAGCCAATAAGGGAAGCTGAGACCGTGTCTCCATTAGGCAAACCAACGGGACATTCAAAACTTTTTGTATCAAAAATCCAATGTTTTTCTCCGGTGACATGATGCGTAGCTCCTGTGTCAATAATCCAAGAGGTATCATCAAACTTACCACTCAAACGATTATCGGAAAGTGTAGCATTACCCATCAATCCCGTGATTGCCTTCCATTGCTCACTAGTAAACACTTGATTAGAAGAAGAATTGGAAGCACTTAGCGAACCCGGACCCGAACCAAGAACACTTGCTGAGGTAGCATTGGCCCGCACCTGACCTCTGCCACGTCCTACCCCATTAGGCCAGCCATGAAGATCATAACACCTATTTTCCTCATGACCCTTCTTCTTACAGTGAGTGCAAATTTTATCGGCCCAACACCTACTAGATTCGTGTCCTACTTTCTTGCACCTGTCACATACCGGTGGTTTGTCCGACCCACCACGACCACGGCCAGCACCTGCTCGAACCGCAAAACCAAGCACCAAAGACGACGGTGGTTCTTCCTTAGCGCGAGAAATACCACGAACTCGCTCATCTTGGGAAATTTGCTGAAATGCTCTGTTCAACGTGGGAAGGGGTTCTTGGGATAACAAGGTGGAACGAAGTGGAGCATAATACTCCGAGCACAACCCCAACAAAAACTGCTGAAGACGATCAGCATCCCTCCTATCCGCATGTTGTTTGCCAATATTGCAAGTGCATTTACCACATTTACAAGCAATCAAAGGTTCATGTTTATTGAGCTCATCCCACAAAACAGAAAGTTTACTAAAATAAACAGCCACCGACATACTTTTCGGTTGTTCACAAGCATTAATTTCAGATTTAATTTGCTGAATTCGAGGTCCATTAACAAGGCAAAAACGTTCATGTAAGTCATCCCACAACCTCTTAGCATTATCATAGTGAGAAAGCATCGACTTTTACCTCAGGGTCAATGGTATTCATTAACCAAGAAACAAGCATACATTGAATAGTAATCCAGTCATCCTTCGTACAGGGAGGAACATACGTGGGAATACTGCCGTCCAAGAAACCAAATTTGCGGCGAGACGACAGAGCAATTCGGATTGCATGAGCCCAGTCATTGAAATTATCGAGTTTCAAACGTTGAGAAGTGATAAAATCACCCGGCCGATCTTGCGGTCCAAGGTAAAACGGGGAATTTACCTCAATTTTGGGTGGTGGAGGAGGTGGTGTATCCCCCATTGTTCACGGTGAGAAAAGAAACAGGAAAGAAGAAAAAGAAGAGAAGAGAAAAAATATAAAAGATACCATGTTGAATTGCACAAACTCACAACCTAACTTTCATTAATTGGAATAATCACCAATATATACAAAGCTTATTCCCAGTGTTACCTTAATTAGGTTGCTAGAAATAAGGAAACAATATAAAAGATAGAAACAAATATATTCTACCAAATTTTATCCTCAATATTTCTCTTCTTGTCAAAAAAAAAAAAAAAAAAAGATCCACACTCTGTTAAATGTAATTAATTAAAATCTATATTCATCAATTTATTTAACTACCTCAATTCTTAATTAATTCTGTTAAATGGTTAACTAGGAATGGAGGAGTGTTTAAGAATGAAGGAGGTTATTTGGTAGACAATTTCCGGAACTGTGACTCTACAATGAGTAATCTTGCGATTTTCCTAAGCCAGAGGTGAGAGGTGTTAGTACCATGTGCGAGGGGGGTTGTCATGATGCATCACCGGGTTTTACAAGGCTCAACCTTGGTATAAAGGACGGATCTCCCTAGTGCTCCTTTAGACAGGGGTGTAAAGGTGGTTATTATGGTGGATGGCTCTTGGAAAAATGAGTTGGGAAATGCAGGTTTTGGATGGGCTTACTCTTTGGATGCTATATACTTGTTGTGGGCGCGCGTCCCCTTAATTTGGCAAATGAACTGATTGGAGCTGAGCTGAATTGAACTGAGCTTAAGCTAAACAGAACAGACTCTAAGTGTCTGTGTAGACGATAGAGGTAAATATACATTTGTTTCACATACATGCAAGAATTGGATTTTTAATATTAAAAAATAAAAACACCCAATTTAGAGAAATAAATAGCCACAAAGGAGGGTGATGAAAACCAATCCCAAATTCTCTTGAAATCGAGATGGAAGCTCTAACCACTTGAGTTATCCATCACTCTCAATTTATTAGTATAGGTAGCCTAACAGTAAACAATGGATGAATTATACACTAGTGTTTAGCCCGAGCGATGCCCCGACTCATATATTATATCTTGTTGTATTATAGTTTTCATGTATTATACTTATAAAGATGAATTTGTCTAGTCTTTCGTTCCTAGGAGGTATGAGATAATAGCTACGTTGAATACTTATTGAATTTATTTTTTGAGTATCTTATTTTTTTTTTACAAAAAATTGAACCTTATGCTTTTCAATTATATACTTTTTTTTTTTATTATTATTTTTTTATTTTTTTACATATTGATAACGTGGTTGGTAATTTGCTTAGACGGTTAAGTACTCATCCTTGTTACAAGAGTTTGGGTGTTCAAATATCTAATTTTATCTAGTCTCGTGACTTGGCTAAAAGTTTAGCTTTACATATTAGTTATATTTTTTTTTATATGATATAGATTTATTGAACAATGAAAGTCCTCATACCTTTTAATTACAAGTCTACATCAAAGGTTCATAAATGTCTAAGAAGAAAGTTCACATCAATTTTGAGACGGACAAATCTACATATATAGAAGGTTGAAACTTAAGACTCTACAATGTTATATGGAGTACAAGACTTTCTATCAATGACGTACACTCTTTCTATTCTTAATCAAATTAAATATGAAATACTCCCTCCGTCTCTTTATTAATGTCCACTTTAATTTAAATCTTCAGAAAGGTATGGATAGCCTTTGAATCATCTTACAGAACAACCGAGTAAGCAAGTTGTCTCATATGCTTCATACCAGTGCCAAAATCACAACCGAATATAAATTGAACAAAAATTGAAAGGACACTAGTAAGCAAAAGTGCAATCGATATCAAACTAAGTTCATAAGCTTCCATCAAAACTTATGTAAGATATATGTGAACTAGCATTCCATCTCCTATGGAAACAGGCAAAAGCCTTGAAATTATTCGCATTTCGATCACTCCAAAACTCGAACAAACATCAATGCAACCACAAAACTATTCCACTCCATTTACTTATGATGAAGCTAAGCCAGAAAAGGAGATCAAGCTTGGACAGAAGCCATGTACACGATCAAGTCGACCACTCTAGAGCTGCAAGATATAATAAACACAAATTTAAGTGTAAGTTTCGGTCATAAATAAGAAAAATGAACGACTTTTGTAATGACTAATGAGCCTTGAATTACCTGTATCCCCATTCATTGTCATACCAAGAAACCAACTTAACAAAGTTCTTGTTCAAAGCAATACCGGCTTTTGCATCAAAGATGCTTGACCTATATTTTACAAACCAATCCAAAACAAAGTTAAATAATCAATAATCTAACAATGTGTTACAGCTGAGAAATAACTTGAATCTACAAGTTTGTCAAAGAAAGGTTGAGGTATAATTACCTGCTATCACCTACAAAATCTGTGGATACAACATCATCTTCGGTGTAACCCAAGATACCTTTGAGGTTGCCCTCAGATTCTTCCCTGTTAATTTAAGGTAAGAACATGAACATATTTAGTCAAGCGTCAACACAATCAGAAATAATTCAACCAAAAACCTCTAATTTGTTTTTACTCACTTGATAGCAGCTTTTATTTCATCATAAGAAGCATCCTTTTCGAGCCTGACAGTGAGATCAACAACCGAAACATCAACAGTTGGAACACGGAATGACATTCCAGTTAGCTTGCCATTCAATGATGGAAGCACCTTGCCCACAGCCTGTTAAGCTCAATGTTAATAAGGATTTAAAATACGAAACAAGCTAAGGGTATCTAACAATCCTGAAAATTTGTATTTAGCTTTGATTAACTCAATTGATCAGAAGAGTAAATTGTACTACCTTAGCAGCTCCAGTGCTGCTAGGAATGATGTTGAAGGAAGCCGCTCTTCCACCCCTTCGATCTTTAGCAGATGGCCCATCAACCGTTTTCTGTGTAGCTATACATTTACACAAAAATAACAAGAAAACAATGATTTTAGAAAAATCTGTTACAATGATCAAAGCTAGAGTAGCAAATGAGAACAAGTGAACAACACTAGACAAAATGTCGAAAACTTAACACGTTTTTTTCTATTGTTAATAGCCTAACTAGCTAAGTAATGAGACATTTTCATAGGAAAATTATAATCTTTACCAGTGATGGAATGGACAGTGGTCATAAGTCCCTCTACAATGCCAAATCTGTCATTAATAACCTGTATTTTTTGAACAAAACTCTATATTATTTACCAAAGAAACAGCATATTATAACAAGGGACTCAAATCAAAATTTAAGCTTCAGAACTGTTTAGTGATCAAATTACCTTGGCTAAGGGAGCAAGGCAGTTGGTAGTGCAGCTAGCATTGGAAACAATGTCGGTTTCGGGTGTGTATTCCTTCTCATTGACACCAACAACAAACATTGGTGCATCTTTGCTTGGAGCAGAGATTACCACTTTCTTAGCTCCACCCTTCATACAACATTTACAACATCAGATCAAACCACATATTATAGTCCATAATACTATAAGCTATAATGCATAGATTTGAATAGAAAAAACTAATGTCAACCCCATTTAATTATAGTCTTCTTTATAAATTACCGTATAATATAGTCTACACATTAAAATTACAACAATAAATTTAATTATAAATGTAATATATTAGGTGGGATAAATTATATACCTTCAAATGAGCAGCAGCTTTTTCTTTATCAGTGAAAACTCCAGTAGACTCAACAACATATTCAGCTCCTGTTTCACCCCATGGGATCTCTTCTGGATTCCTATAATCAAATTTAGCAACCCCAACAAAATTATTTGTAATTTCTAAAAATTCCACAAAAAAAATTTGTACTTTGCTTAAATAATCATGTTCTTTGTCTTAAAATGAGACCGTCTGATATAAGAATTTGCGTAGAGGTAATAATGGGTTACGGAAAAGTTACCTAGAGGCAAAAACAGTGACAGATTTTTCACCAAAAAGAAGGGTGTTTGAATCCTGAACCTTCAATTCATGGTGCTTCCATTGTCCATGTACAGAGTCATACTTAAACATGTATGTCTGAACCAAAAATCACATCAAATTCAATAAATAAAGTGTACAAAATTTGATTTTATTAAGGAAAAATTTGGTTGTAAAATTTGATGATAAAAATTACTCAGTACCATGTAATCAGTGGAAATGAAAGGATCATTAATAGCAACAAGCTCAACATCATCTCTTTGAAGAACAATTCTGGCTACCAATCTACCAATTCTTCCAAATCCTATCATAAAAATTTCCCAAAAAAAGTTTACAAAAAAAAATTCAACCCATGATAATTATCAAACAACTATTCCGTCAATGTTGTCACGTTACAACTTTTCATTGTATGTTGTGACTAATAATTGGAAAGAAAAGAATATATCAACATTATCATTAACCAATAACTTTTATCAATTTAATGTCACGTTATCAGTTCAATGTACATTGTAACTATTAATTCGGGATGGAGAGAGTAGATCATGAGTACAAACATCAATTTAGTTGTCACGTTACTAATTCAATGCATGACAATAACTAATTCAGAATATAGAGCGTAGATCATTAATCCATAACCATACTTACCATTAATTCCAATCTTGATCTTGTTTGACCCTGTTACAAAATGGATATCATAAACAATATAATCATCAATCATCAAGATTTAAAATAAGAACAAGAAACAAAAATGTAATCAAAATTAACTCAAATAAAAAATAATTTAAAGAATTACCCATGAATTCAAATGACAAATGTGATGATATATATTGAACAAAAAAAAATGTTTCTTTTAGAGAAGGGTTTAATTTTTTTAAGAAAACGCGATGAATTATGTTTTTGAAAGGGTGTTATTTATAATAAAATGAGACTTCAGCGGTTTTGAGTAGCTGCTGATTTGGTCGATACCAAGAGCCAAAAAAGGTGAATTTCTTGAACAAAAAGAAAATGTCTTTCTTGAACCAAAAGACACTTTTTTTTCTAGAACTTTACTGGGTTAATTAATTATTTTATTTGATAAAAGTACATTATACGGAGTAAACCATTCACAAAACACTTTCCTGAAAGAATACTTCGTACGATTACTAATTAAAAGTTGAAAACCAATTACGACTAGTGATGAGCCAAATGTTTTATAAAAATACTATTTTGGGAGAATATGCCAAAGGGTTGAAAGATTGAAACTATTGGCTTATTACATAGGGCTATATGCAAGACTGCATTGCTGGCATATCAATGGTGAAAATACAAGTTAATCTGTCAGATAAATAAATTTTTGTTAAACTGATACCATTTTTTGTAAATATATTGAAAAAGCAGGGTCATTTATTCAGTACTTTTGGTGAGCTGTCCAATTACTGTTTGCTTTTTGCTTTTGTTGTTTAGTGAGGAAATTACGCATATATTCCTCAACTAGTACATGAAAAGGCGCATATACCCCTCCACTGGTACTTGAAAAGACAATTATACCCCCAGATAAACAAAGGAATTGACTGGGTATTGCTCATACCAATGTTTAATTTTGACTAACGATATCTTTAATTATCAATATATATAAATCATAAATATTAGCAGATATTTAGAAACTATGTGCAGAGGCAATTTAAACAAGTACCCCTATGAATCATGACTATATTTAGTTGTATGCATAATGCACAAAAAATGATCAAAGTGGTGTATGTGAATAGTGTCAAATTCAAACTAGGACATTTAAATAAAAACGGATTAGAGGGAGTACAATTATAAATTTAGGATTTTATGACAAAAAAACACACACACACACATAAATAAGTGTAATTTTTTTTTTTTCAAATTTTTTACTTTTTAACATTAGTTCATTGAACTACACATGTTTTTAGAAAAAATAAGCTATTTACACTATCTACGCATGTTTTTGTTGCTTATATTAGTATAATTCCCGTGCTATGCACAATTTACAACTTAATATTATTAAAATTTTAGATAGTGTAAAATAAATTACCTGTAATTTTTAACTTTACTCATTTTGACTTTTTTGTTACTATATATTCAAGGATAACACTTTGATATACTCTTTTCAATTTCAATACTATATATGAAAACATTAAAGTGTATTCTCTTCACCTCAAAAATAAAATTTCAGGTTTAAAGTTTAAATCCAAATTTTGCTGGCGTACCAAAGTAACCATTGCAGCATTACTAAATTGATTACACGACAAACCAAAGTACCATACCAAACTTACATTTAAGCAAATAAGTAGTAGTATTAGCATTATTTTTGATGGATAAGACCATCACAATTCACAAGTACAAGGTGTAAAATCATAAAAGATTGATTCAACTCCTCTAGCTCTTAGCCAAGGATCGGAATGATGACTCCAACGTAACAATGAAATGATCAAACTCGAACTCATGTAGCTTTCAGTGTGTTGCCAATGTCAATGACAAATCGATACCTAACGTCTGCCTTGTGTACACGCTCCATGGCCGTGTTTACATAGTCCATTGGAATAACCTCAATATCCGCTTTTATATCATGCTTAGCCGCGAAATCAATCATCTCTTGTGTCTCCTTCATGCCTCCAATCCCACTTCCACCCACCATCTTTCTCCCTGTTACAATATAATGATAGTGTTACAAATCAAATCCGTTGATTCAATAAGATGTACACGAAAATTAAACAAGATAAGGGCTTACCCATAATCAAAGGGAAGACGGGCAACTCATGTGGTTTGTCTGGAGCACCAACTGTGATCAATTTTCCCTCAGTTTTTAGCAGACTGATCAATGGTAATAGTGGATGGGGTGCTGAGACTGTATCGATTATTCCATCTAGTGTCCCGGTAGCTGCCTATATACAAATGCAACAAACAGTATTACATAAGAAATTGTCATGTTCACTACCATAGAAAAACAATCAGCCTTCCCTAAAGAAAAAAAATAAAAAAAATCAGCTAGAGCTAGAACAAGGTGGCATGGGGTTTGTAAGCTACCTGCATTTGTTCAGGATCGCGACTGACCAAAAAGAAATCAGCACCAAGACGGTTGACAGCTTCATCCTTCTTATTAGCTGAGGTACTAATAACAGTAACCTTAACCCCGAGAGCCTTAGCAAATTTCACAGCCATGTGTCCTAGACCACCAAGGCCTACAACACCAACAGTGAGTCCAGGTTTGTCGAGCCCATAGTACCTCAAAGGGCTATAGACAGTGATACCTGCACATAAAAGCGGGGCAGTAGCATCTAGTGCCATATTCTCAGGAACATGAACAGCAAAGTGCTCGTCTACCACCATGATATCGGAGTAACCTCCATATGTAGGGGTGCCATCATAGTAAGTAGATCCATAAGTTAGCAACATCTTAGGACAGTAATTCTCAAGATTGTTGCCACAGTTATCACACGAACGGCATGATCCAACCATACATCCCACCCCAACTTTGTACCCTACTTTGAATTTTTGCACCTTTGTCCCAACTTCAGTTACCACCCCTACAATCTCATGCCTGAAAATACCATAAAAAGACATATTAATGTTCATGTACAGAGTATGTCATTCATGAATTATCGAAAACTATATTCTAAGTATAAGAAAATTACCCAGGGACTGCAGGGTAATTGGCACTAATGAAGTCACTACTCCCCCATTCATTCTTAACATAATGAAGATCAGAGTGACAAATTCCAACATACAACACTTTGAAAGTCACATCCTGCTCTCCCGTTGCCCTGCACATCAAAAAAAAAAATTATATTTCACCTTGTCTCGATCAATTGTCAGCAAATAGAGGCTAATTGTTAGAGATATCGGAAAATATCCTAATTAATATTATTCTCTTAAATGATATCTACGAAAAATATATCACACATATATTTTCCTATATCTCTAACACTAATTTTTTTTAAATACTCGGTAGCAAATTCAACAAAGACATAATTGTACGTACAATAATATCAGTAAAAAAAAAACGGATTTTCCAAGACCACCTTATCAATGTTATCATACATGATCATGTACAAGTGTACAACCCCTCATGAAAACAAAAGACGTGTTACATATGTACAACAAATCAGTAAAAAAACATAGATTTCACCGGCCACCAAATTAAACGTTATATATGTTGTACATATAAATCGTACCTCCTAGAGAAATGGAAAGGGGAGAGAACTCCAGAAGAGTCTCTTGCAGCCCATCCGAAAGCCTTTTGTGGGTGAACGTCTTCAGGTGCTCGTGCCATAATTTTTATTGAGTAGTTTGATATGTAAACTTTCAACACTTAAGTATAAATAGAGATTAGAGTATGTGAAGTGGTTATGTAATATGTACTTCCTATATATATAGGAAGACGTCCCAATTGTGAACTTACCCTCAAAGCGAGGAGCATTAGTGACGTACTCAATGATCAAAGCTCTAACCATAAACTCAAAAACCAATTGAAAATAATTGAATTGGTGGAATGACACGAGAGCTTCTAAGTACTTTTTAATAAATTAACAGCTTAACTTCCACACATGTTACAGTGTCACTTTGTACCAATTGGCTGTTAGTGCAGTGGTTATTATTGGGGCTGCACTTGGTAGGAAGGTCCGCGTGCTTTATCCCCCACAACAACAAACCTAACCACTTTGAATTGAGTTTTGAATCCGGATTAGGCCAAAGGGTGAGCCGGATATTAACTACATACTAGCTAGACCATTATCAATATAGTATGCCTCAACTTTTTTTTTCAAGGGAATATGACGTTAGGAGTGATATCAATCATATCACATTGAAAGTCTATGTTCTATGTACCTTGTATTAAATTATTGTATTGGTTATCATTAGTGAAATATATAATTGGTTATGATGAATAATGAAGTGATGAACTATGTACGTTGTAGATTTGTTTTCATTCTTAGGAGAAAAAAATGAAAAGAATTGAAAAGGTTTTGCATTTCACGATTTACAAATAAATTTAGGCAATAATGGGCCTTTTTGGGGAACAAATTGAAATCTAAGGACGTTAGGTACTGAATAATGGACTAAAATACTTTTGTACTTCGTCAGTCTAACGTTGTTGTAGCAATTTCCTAGCCAAATATTTGTAGCTTAGCTTTCTTCATTTGTCGTATTGTAGTGTTGTTTTTTTTGGTTGTTACACCCGATTCATCATTTGGGCTAATCCGGATTGTGGGATCAATTTTGGGTGGTTAGGTTCCAATCCCCTCCCAAATATTGTTGTGAGGGATCGGACATTGGTCCTCCCTATCAATTATAGTTCCAACCACCACTACACCAACAGTCAATTGGTCGTATTGTAGTATTGCACATGTATAAATACCAAATGAGAAAGATCACACCTTCTAACTTTGAGATTAGGAGTTCAATCTCCACTAGAGACACTTTGAGAGTCGGGTAGGATTGGTTCCCTTACCCTTTCCCCTCACTCTCAAAGTATCTAACGCGAAAATATTACTGGTTTTTGATCCATTTCATTCTTTGGGTGTGTACCCACGCGTGTATCTTAGACCAAGATCTAATGAAGTAATGAGTACCTCTAACAATATATTCGGCTGATGAGAGTGAGGGATAGCTCAAGTGGGTAAAGCTGATCGATTCTCACCTCGCCTTTGTGGCTCTCTAAATACCAAAAAATATATTCGGCTGGTGAATTAAATTTGTAATATATAGAAACAAGGCAACACTTCAAATCATACATGAACTTTGTATATAAATTATAGAGAAACAAGCTAAGGGTACATTTCAATTATCCTGAGAGACCTTAATCTCAATCAAGATTTGATACAAACTTGTGACCCTCAAAAATTCATTCCCTATTATTTCTAGCTAGCCTTATGCCAACATCTCTACAATCTTCGTAATGAAGT